AGATCACGTGACAATTATTCAAATCATTGATACACGTCATTGATAATCGCATGGAAATACGTTACACTTAAAGTCAATCTGCTTCGCTTTACGCAATAGTACCTCTGTCACAGACACCCTTCAATTTTGTGGCCAATCACCTCACTACGCACAGCCATTTTTCCGCGGTTGTTTCTTTTGAAACCAAACTGCAAAAAGTGGGGGGGGGGACGTATGTGACATTCGAACTATTCATTAATGTCAAACTTCAGTAAAAACGTAAATACGAACCATTTTATCGCGGACTATGTTTTGCAAAGTAATGAGGTAATGTTATAGTAGTGAAATGGCGCACGTGATACACTAAAACTGGGACAAAAAAAACGTTTGAAGAAAGAAACATTGAAGACTAATTTCACTAAAAGGGGTTTCCTTACGTTTCCGTTCATCTTGCTTGTATTATTGTGAATATTTCAATACTATTTCTGGCTCGAACAGGTTCGATTTTCCGCGTCTAGCAGCCATGGAACACACAAGTTCTAGTAAGTTTATAAAGTTAGTCATTTATTGCACAATCTAATGCATTGACATCTAGATAAGGATTGTACTTTTCTGACGCAAGTCATTTAGCTTGTACGACTAACCTACCTGTCTCCAACATCCAATGTTCATACAACATCAATTACTACAGTTTTCTTGACTGACCTAGATAAAGCAATTGTAATAGCTATGAATTTCGCTGAGAGCTCAAATTGACTAATTCGGGCGAGTTATTATGTTTAAAGCGGGAGGGTCGTCACCTGTGCACGCGCGGGAATTGAATCCAAAGCGACGAGAACAACAATGACACGCTACGGCCATCTGACGCATGCGCAGGTGACGACTCTCTCGCTTTAATATTGACAGTGTTACCGTGGTGACATCACGATCAAGACCTCAAACGATTGAACATGTCAACGCTAAGTATATTGAACATGTCATGTTGTGTTGTGTTTCATCATTTCAAATTCCATGACATGCCAAAAAAAGTAATAACTATATTATATAACAGCACTTGAAATGATAACCTGTTTACATTTGGATAAAGTCATTTGATGCATTTTTTTTATAAAAGCAATGTAATATACATCATGGGAATACATTTCGCACAACAAAATTGCATATTTCGCAAAATTAATGAATAACATCGGTCAATATCAATAATAAAATGTGATGAATAACGTTTGAATGGGCGTTGTTAAAACACATCATATCTGTGTTATTTTATGTTGTGATGTGACAGAGTTTTGTCTGAGTGCATAAAATCTGAGTGCAATATATTCGTAATAACCCTATTATTATACATATCTCGAACCAACCACTTGGTATAGAAATCTCAGAGTTGGGTAAAACTGTGTTAACTTTCTTGCTGTGAATTTGGTTTTTAAAAGCGTCCTTTCCATATTTGTAGGTTTCATTAAAAGTCAAATTTATTCTTTGATATGATATGATATATTATCACATCTCACTGCTGTTACGCATGCTATGATTGGTTGAGACTCGGTCACATGACATGGAATAAAAATGGATATTACATGGTATATTGCCCGCCAAGTGGATTTTACATGGGTATATCACATGGATGACGTCACTGAAACTACGCGCAACGATACTGCGCATAACAAATTGTCGTTCCTGCACTGGTGCTGCTCTGGCCGCTGTTGCTTTCGGGGTTGCTTTCAGGGTTTTGAAGGAACTTTAGCCATCCAAATAGACGTGAACGTGCCAGAATGGATATTAAGTAAGATACTCTGTTTTGATGTATAGGGTATTTTTTATATGGAGCGAAAATGTACGGCAAAGCCGCCACTGAAACTTTGCGGCCGGGGTCGCTGTGGCGCGTTCTACGCTGTAAGCATTTCTACGCGTTCCACGCCGATGCTAACCAAAAACACTTTAAAGCTGTGTGGCTTGTGAATAGGTGTGGTACCTCAGTGAGAAAGTAATTTCAGTCATTTCCACGGCACTCTGATATTTTTATCTGTAGAGTGATCAAGTAACTTGCGTTTGAAAATTTCTCAATTCATTTCAAAAATGTTATTCTCGATAATTTGAGTGATCCACACTGCTGAAACACGGTTCAAATAAAAAGACTATACATGGCTGAAAATAACATTTACTGAGTGTATTTCGTTGCTTTTCAGCAAACAATGTATGTATGTTATTGAGTAATGTGAAACTTGTTATAATAGATAAAATAAAATATTGCATACTTCAATATAAGTGTTGTTATTTTGTGGGAGAGCGGGTGTGAGTGATGTATGGTATCTGTGATTGTCGTGGTGGATGTCTGTTCGATGTGATAAAATAAATAACACATGGTTATTCGGGCAATATCACGATTTGTTGTCTGCCCTCGGGCTGCTGGTCATGACCATCATCCCTTGGGCAGGCAACAAATCGTGATATTATCAGGGGTAAATTCTTCTCTACGGGGTTCTCCACACTTGTCAGGGGGGAAACTCGTCTCGTCTCTATATCTCGTCCCCTTGAGGTGCGGGATCGGGAAAGTCACTTATACTTTACAGTCAAATAAGACACACACAACGAAATACGTTTCAACTCTCGTCTTAGTCGATCTTTTGGAGCACTCTATAAGACACAGCGCCCTGGGGAAAAGTCCCCAAGACTATCGCAAGGCTGACCCAAGACTAGCCCAAGACTGCGTCAAGGGTCGCCCCAAGTCTCTCCAGGACTGCACTCGACTGCGTCTCTCGTGGAGTATTCGCCAAGACCAACTCAAACTCTCTTTATTCATTTTCAAAACTCTAACCAATTACAAAACAGTAAAAAGTACTCTAGGGCGTAACCTTCAATCATAAAGCCAATCACACTAAGTACTGAATACGTCATATCTTTTGATTAATCGTTCACTACATTAATAACTACGAATACCAACTGTCAGAATGAGTAGTCTAAATAGCGGCGGTTATCTCGTAATTAGTTCCAAATCACTGAGCCAAGTTCTGTCCAAAACTTCAAATAGGTCTAAACGATGACAGACATAACACAGCAATTCAGCTAATAATCAGCTAATTAAGTCGGTCAACAGATACGCAAAAACAAATTCATGACAATATTACCCTCACAAGCATGTGTTATTATTTAACTAGTACTTGTGAGGTCGCCCTGTATCTCAAGAATTAAAAATAGTAATATCTGAAGCCACCTGATGGTTTAGTATGAACAATTACAAAAAGTGGCACGAGTAAACAAAAAGTAAACCCACAAATAAAGTATTTTTAAAATATTTTTCTAAGGAAGATTCATAATTTCAATGAAAATGGGTTGTTGACGACTGTCACTATCACTCGTATAAGTGAAGTTGTACTCATTGAACAACCTCAAAAACTACATTTTCTGCATTTTATTACTTCCAAATTAATTTCAGTTTGTTGTCGAGCCCCGGGTTCAATTTCTAAATTCTGGTAACCAAGTATAAATTTACTCGACATTTTACGAAAAATTATCAAAATGATATTCAAGTAATTCTCAAAAAAATAAAAGTGGCCATAAGTCCGAAGTTTATTTTCTTCATTAATTTTGGTGTCACCATTTTATGAAATAAAACTGTACGACGAAACATGCCAAGGCTTTATTTTTGCTATCAGTTGATTGATCTTGAATTTTCCACGATAAGTGAAACAATTCCAAGATAGCAGGAGATTCTAATATGATGTGAAATACTATAATTGGTATTCTTAAAAAAAAAAACATGATTAGGTTTTCTTTAATATTAAAACCCAGTAAGTGTTACTAGTAATTTATTTAAGCAGTTTTGTAGACATGTAGTCATTTAATTTTATATTCCTGTTTTTGTTTTTGTGCCAGGCGACAGTTGTGGACATTGAATGTCACCGTTGTCTCTCCTGACTTTTTTTGTAATGTAAATTGCAAATGCTGACACATAGTGCATTTTGCACAGAATGCATATTCATGTTTGGGACTACATGACAGGGCTGTGTGGTCACCACTCCATCAAATGGCAATTTTAATGCGCTATCCTGGCGTCAACCAGGCTCGGTCGAACACAAGCACCTGCGGACCTAACCAAGGTTCCCCCAAAACAAGCAAAGTATTCATTAGAAACATTGTTAGTATTTGGCGTTTTATACAGATATTTACAAACCATTATATTCAAATGAAAAGCTACGCCTGTAATTCTTCAATATTTTTCAATATTTTTTTTAATAAATCATTATTTTCTGAATAAGGGACGTTATTTACAATGTTGGAGAATAGTTAATGCGGGGGAGTCGACACCTACGCATGCGTTAGGTGGTCATAGAGCCTTTGTTTACAAACAAGCGTCTACCCATGAGCCTTTGCGTTCTTAGCGTGTGTTGTTATCATCGCTTGGGGCTCAATTTAAGATAAGCTATTACATACTATAGCACTATATTTGTTATGGTCCAATTTATCAGCAGACTTATAAAGGATCTAAAATACTACTAGAAAGAATACAGTTGAAAAGATGGCTTTGAACAGGTGAATTATTACTAATTTTAACATTTTAATCGTGATTTCATCATCACCAGAAGAGTTTGTTTGTTTGCTTTAATCTACATAAGTACACATTATTAGTTGAATGATTTGATTTATGGACTCAATTATTAGGGCAGTGAAAACAAATTTGGTATACGGCACCTGTCACAGTGTAAGGCCTGCTTATCGCTAATAAGAGGGCACCCACAGAACTCGCACTGGACAGGGGGTTCTTTCACTGCTAGAATGGGGTGGACTAGACAATGGTACTGGAAATGAAATACACATACACCAAAAATATCAAGTTAGAGCTCCTGGCTTTAATACTTCTCAAAATAATTACAAGAAACAAAGCACAGAAAAATACAATGAATAAATTTACTAAAATAGGGGATTGCTCAGGGAATACTAGTAACTCACAGTTCCAGGATACAGAAATGTATGACAGTCAATGGCTTCTGCAACGCAAAAACAAAGAAATACAGGACTCGTGCTTGCAGAGGAACGCTGTTATTCTTGAGGGCACCGCTGAAAGCTGAAGATCGCAGAGCAGTTCACACAAGTCTCACAGAATGATGCTTGTAGCAGCAACACACTGGAAACTAAGTTGAAATGATGGTCAACAACTGTCTGCAGTCTGTCCAATTTATAAGATTCAGTGACACCACCTGGGTTTCCACATGAGCCAATCAGGATGTGATCTTGCTAGCAGCTGTGTCACGTAGGCAACCCAGTAGATCATAAACATCTTTTGTTATTCAAATAACAGCACACCTGGTAGATTCCAATTGTCCTTCCAAAGTTGTAAATATCCTTTGTTTTGTAAATCACAAGCACACCTGGTAGATTCCAACTGTCCTACCAGATTTGAAAACAAGTATGACCTGTCAATCGCCTTTTTGACAGTTATCCCGCGGCAATGCACACCGTTTCTTCCCATGATTCCATCCACACTTCTATTTGCCATACTAAAGGATGCTGACAGGCACAAATAAATTGCATATAAATAATAAAACACGTATGTGGCTTCGACGTTGTTATTTATTTATAATTGTTGTAGTTTTCCCATTGCTATGGTTTCCGGTTAATTTATAATTTATAACAGTTAGAAACTCAAAATAGTGGCTGAAATAAAAACAATGTTCACAACAACACTGAATTTTTGACGTCGCTAGGAAGGATGAATACAATTTCGAAATTGTTCTAGCTTCGTCTAATCAGTTCCGTACACAAACGGCTAATAGATGGCGATACACCAACACTTTAATAGCGAATTACAAAAAACGCATGCGTCAGGTGGCCATAGCGCGTAGCGTGTCATTGTTTATAAACAAGCGCCTACCCATGAGCCTTTGCGCTCTTAGCGTGTGTTGATTTCACTTGGGACTCACTTCCCGCGCGTGTGCAGGTGACAATTCTCCCGCTTTAATATTGTTGTTTAAAACTGCATATTGTCACACTAAATTATGATTAATCGTGAACCGGAAACGTTCTTTGCAGTGTATAGGCAATAGTAATCGCTCAATGAAAAAATACGTATGCTGTGCAGTCATTGTTATGGTGTGAACCGACATTTAACTCATCAAGTGTCAAGAGGGTTCCAATAAACATAACGCCGCCAAAACGTACATTCACCTTCTTGTGTTGGCTCTAGTTACCACGTGACCATGCACCCAGCATATCTTCACTACATTCATTGGGTTACCAATGTACAAAGTAGCATTACAGGAGAGTATTATGTCGTCCACTTTAGGACACTATGAAATAAATTACATAAACATTTATTATGCATGAAATCGACAAAACATTAAACAAATATCATTGAAAATATGCTTTCTGACTCTTTCTCGCTTCCTTGGGGCGTCCCTCAAGGATCTTCCAAGGGGTCGTTAGATTTCTTCTTATACACCGAGTCTCTGAGTGATTTACGTATTGTCTCTCAACTTTATATCACACTGAAACCATCCGAGTGTCATATCCATACATAACTATCTTATGCTTAAAGGGCGGCAGTCGTCGCGCCGCGTCCTGTTCGATATGGGACTCATAGCGACGTATACAACGCGTGTAAAATACATTGTTTATTTACATGAAATTCGAACACGCGCTGCCGACGACTACCGCGCTTTAATAAAATGCCAAAACAGAAGTAGTTCATGTGAGCTCTAAATTCCGCAGACATTCAGATCTTCCTTCTAATATTGGCGACACAACATTTCTACGTTCCAGTTGCCAACAATCTGGTCATTATTAACATCAGTATGCAAAACAGCACGTCAAAAACATTTTCAGGTCAGCTAACTTTGGCATTTACAAAATTGAGAACAATCACAAATGTATGTACCAACAATCAACTGAGTACCTAATCCATTCGTTTGTTACATCAAGTTTAGACTATAGCAACTCATAGCTCCACAGATCACTATCATCCCAGCTTGAACCACTACCACGTATCTAAAATTCTGCTACCAGACTTGTTACATGTCACAGTAGTAAACTGGTCAACATATACTTGCGTCAACTTCATCGGTTGCAAATCCATAAACAAATTATATAAAAAATACTCCTGTTAACATCTAAAGCTACAACAACCTTGCCTCTACTTATATTACTGATCTCATTGTCCCATGTACATCGTTTTTCAGTGTGTGTTGTTATCGTGAACGGTCGCTTGGGACTCAATTCCCGCGCGTGCGCAGATGACGACCTTCCCGCTTTAAATACAACTTTCTAAACTGAGGTTCCTGTTCAAGAACTAGATACTATAGAGAGAGGGGGCGCTATCTGCTGCAGTCCAAAACATCCGGTCTATTACTGCTCTACCCATCTTCTGAAAACTCTGAAAACTGAATACACTTTTCTTTCGCTCCTGGTTCGATCTGTAAAACGCTTAGAACCCTTTGGTATATGCACTATATAAGAATAAGGCAAGGAGCTTTAGATGGTCGACCATTTGAATTCGAGGGAGTGGCTGGAAGATTTATTGAAAAATAAATTGCAAGCTAGACACCAAATATAAAAAATGCATGCAATGTGTTACAGGAACAGAATGTTGGCACATTCAAGAAAAAAAACGTAGACTGCCAAAAAAAAAAAAAAAAAAAGCACACATGGCTGTTCATACGGTTGATCCCTTACATTGCACGTTCACTATCCTCGGGGCGGAGCTACTTCACAAGACGTTCCACGTTGCTAAGACGCGCACCACTGTACATGCATTTCTATGGGCTCTGTGCGCGCTGCTGTGGAACGCCGGTCGAGAAAACAACACAAACTCAACTTTGAAGTAATCCCGAACAACCAAATTTATATATGTTACACACATAGGGCTAATCTTGTTACACTGTTCAGGGGAGTCTCAACAATCATCCCAAAGTACTGTTTTCTGCGAGTTTTGGGCCTTTGTTTTCACCGCCGCGGGTTGCCAGGCGGTGAAAATGCCCAGATGTCCGCCCCCGAGGATGAGAGATACTTATTCGGAATGTATGTCACTGCATGAATAAAACTGACCCTCACTTTGCCACAATTCACAGCGTCAATATGTCGTGAGGGGGATTCACACTGCGCATGCGTTCATAGCGTTTTTTTTTCCATATTTTTCAACGCTTTTGGTCGGACCAAATAAAGGAAGCACATGGTGATATGTCATGTGACATATATGACGTATATTTATGTCATGTGACGTATATTTATGATAATAGCGCGCACAATCCCATCTTCGCTAGCCAAGCTCTAAGTTTATTCGGCAAAGCCGTTAAACAGACCTTGGCAGAACGACCATGAGTTGTTGGCCTTTGTTTTCTTGGCGATGGTTGCCAGGCGGTGAAAATGCCCGGATGTCCGCCTCCAATTATAGGAATGGAAAACACAACAACGTATGCTTAGCTAAATGCATTGCCGACTAGCATACGGTATCACGACTACATATTCAACACTTACGTTTTTATTCCGCTATGATAGTGTTGGTTTACGAGATGAAACATAACATGTTTTTCCCCACAAATCCCGTAACACATCATCAACTGGCAGAACTTCGTGCAACCTAGGGAGTCCTTTGATGCTTACATTACCAAAAATCTATAAAAGACAACTCACAACACGTTATTTTCAAACAAATAGTTCATCAAAACTACAAATGTTATATTAATAACTATCATAATATTATTTTCAGTTGTATCACTCAGATGTTATCGTTGTCAAGAACAATACACCGATGACGACAACCTGATTGCTGAGGATAATTCTGAATGTTTTGAAGATTATACGTGCGATGATGACGAGTTATATGGCGATGAGGAATATGAGGCATGCGTTACTTACACAGAGTACAGCGGTGAGTACTATATTGTTTTATGCCAGTGTCGTTTGGATCTTCTTCCATATTTAAAGGGCGGTAGTCGTAGCGCCACGCATGGGTCTCATAACAAATATGGCGTCTTTGACTGTTTGACGCAAATCAACGAGTACTAACTGAGACGTCACCAAGCTTTAGTAAGGTATTGTAGGTGATTGGAAGGTATCAAGGAGTACTAACTGAGACGTCACCAAGCTTTAGTAAGGTATTTTAGGTGATTGGAAGGTATCAAGGAGTCACTGGCGGTAATTGGTGCGCCTACAAGGTCAAACCTCATACTTGTAATTCCCATTAGAAGAGCGCATTGGATTGTGGGAAAATCAACTTATATGTTTATCAACACAAATGTCGCCCACGCGCAGCACGACGACCACTGCTCTTTAAAAAATAGTAGTGTGTTTAATACCAAACTATAAAAAAAAATCATATAATTGGGGGTTTCAGTGTCACGTGGTATTGTATCCGATTACGTCATCAATTACGCCTATTTTTGTTTATTCTTGCTCGTAGCTAGCTGTGTTGTTATTATTACTAAAATAGTGCACGTGATATAGATAACTAAATAGCTAAATGTATTGTTTGAAACAACGTGTTGCAGTCGCGTGTTGCTTTTTGGCAGTCGTGAATTTACTGCGAACGAGGCTACAAGATTCTGACGCAATCTTACAAAATATCACATGCACACCGATTTCTACATATATACAGTAGCGATGCAGAGGTAGGACGAGTGCCACCAACAATCTAGGCAGCCCCTGTCAACCCTACTAGGCCGTCCATGTCACCCGCCCAGATTAACATTTACCTGTGCAATTTTCCACATTGTAACCCCATTTACGTTATACTATCAATCACAAAACCCGTCATAGTATAGTAATGTGTGTTATCTGTTATTTCACAGCTTTCACTGGCAGATTGGCGATAAGGAAGGGTTGCTATAGCTATCATTTGAGTGATGCCACCTACGATAGCTGCCAAATGCAAAAAGAACAACTAGCCGTCGAATACCAGTGCGACACCGAGTATGATATTTGGAAGTGTATGACGTGCTGCACCGGTGATTTATGTAATGAAAGTGGCGTTACTATGGTAACACATAGCCTGTCGGGAATTGTCGCTGGTATAATTGTGTCCTTACTGTTATTTGCATAATTATTGTCACGTGATGTTGTTTCCGTGTCATTTTGCAACAGAAGTAATAGCATTTTTTGGAACGAGCACATAATTGGCTGAAAAATAAACATCGTTATTTTGCGTTCCATTGTGAATCAAATTTAACAAGATCTGTGCTTGTCACGTAATTGAGAATTGTAGACACACAGTACTATGATTTGGGCTGGATTTTGAGTAGTAAGATTATAATCCCTCCCAAGTTGCCTAGTAGTGTTCATTCACACTGTCAGTTGACATATTTGTCGCAGTAGGTTGACAGTTTTACAGTCACCTGTCATATTTGTCACAATAGTCTGACAGTTTCACATTCTGTTGTCATATTTGTCACAGTAGGCTGACAATTTCATAGTTGACATATGTGTCAATGTAGGCGGACATTTTCACCGGACTTAATTAGCACCGCGTGCCATGAATACAATAGCGCCCTCAACACTGGTTTATTTCAATTCTGAGACTAGGTCCTAGATAATTAAATTTTTTTTCTACGTCACGTGAGCTCAAGAAAGGAACACGTGCAGGCTCCTCTGAACAATTACGCGCGGAATCTTAACAAATCGTGGCTGAATCAGTGCGGTTTTCAATATTTCGAGAAACAATGGCTAATCCTCCTCTGCACTTGCAACGTAGTTAAGAATGTACTAGACAATAACTGGTGGTTTGAACTTGAATGTTTTGACATGTTTGTCACAGCTGACCGACAATATCATCAAGGAGCCATTGCCGTTAAACTTCAAACGAGAGGCATACATTGATTACCTCAACGCAGTGCCTCCCATGAGCTCAAGTAAGAAACACGTACAATCAAGGCCACACGGGTCTCAACGAATGCAAAACTATACACCAAACTGTTCTATCATGGGCGAAATAATTAAATAAAGACACCACTTGTTTTCATTTGTTTGTATGCGTCTCTGTTGTGCTGTGAGCAAACATATTGAATAGATTGACAAATCGAGAGTTAATATATGTCCCCAAAAAAATTGTTTTGTTGCCCTCAGCGACCGACCGAAAAATATGAAATATCGGGTCGCGTTTTTTTCCATATACCTCGGCTATTTACGATAACCTTAGTTTTCACGAGTTTAAAAAAATCCGACCGACCGACCCAAATTTTTAATTTTCTGAGTTGTTGTTTTTTTGGCTTAAGTTGATTTATGATTTTATGAAAGTTTCCTGATATTTTCTTCCGTTCCACCGATAACTTAACGACCACTCAAAAGATTTCAATGAAACTTAGTCTAAATATGGTGTACACACTATCATGTAGGTAACCCTAAATTCTATACTTGGTCCCCTCTTACTCTTGTCAACCATGCATGTTAATTTAACAGAGACTGCGCCAGGTTACGAAGTTACGAAAACATCGAGTTACAAAAGTGACCACTGTTTAAATATTATCAGTTTAACTTTAACACTCTCAACACTTCCAAGACGACTTTAACGCTTTAAATAGTACCAGTTTAACTTTAACGCTCTAAACACTTCCAATACGACTTTAACACTTTAATTACCACCAGTTTAACTTTAACGCTCTAAACACTTCCATTACGACTTTAACACTTTAAATACTACCAGTTTAACTTTAACGCTCTAAACACTTCCAATACGACTTTAACACTTTAAATACTAATAGTTTAACTTTAACTCTCTGAACACTTCCAATATTACTTTAACGCTTTGAATACTATCAGTTTATCTTTAACACTCTAAATAGTGCCAACGACTTTAACGATTTAAAAACTACCGGTTTAACTTTAACGCACTAAACACTCCCAATATGACTTTAACGCTTTAAATACTATCAGTTTAACTTTAACACTCTAAACACTTCCAATATTACTTTCACGCTTAAAATACTACCAGTTTAACTTTAACGCTCTGAACATTTCCAATGCGACTTTAACGCTCTAAACACTTCCAATATGACTTTAACGCTTTAAATACTATCAGTTTAACTTTAACGCTCTGAACATTTCCAATATATCTTTAACGTTTTAAATACTACCAGTTTAACTTTAACGCTCTGAACACTTCCAATGCGACTTTAACGCTTTAAATACTACCAGTTTAACTATAACGCTCTAAACACTTCCAATACGACTTTAACACTTTAATTACCACCAGTTTAACTTTAACGCTCTAAACACTTCCAATATTACTTTAACGCTTTGAATACTATCAGTTTATCTTTAAAGCTCTAAACACTTCCAATACGACTTTAACACTTTAAATACTACCAGTTTAACTTTAACGCTCTGAACACTTCCAATATTACTTTAACGCTTTGAATACTATCAGTTTATCTTTAACACTCTAAACATTGCCAACGACTTTAACGATTTAAAAACTACCGGTTTAACTTTAACGCTCTAAACACTTCCATTACGACTTTAACACTTTAATTGCCACCAGTTTAACTTTAACGCTCTAAACACTTCCATTACGACTTTAACACTTTAAATACTACCAGTTTATCTTTAACGCTGTAAACACTTCCAATACGACTTTAACACTTTAATTACCACCAGTTTAACTTTAACGCTCTAAACACTTCCAATATTACTTTAACGCTTTGAATACTATCAGTTTATCTTTAAAGCTCTAAACACTTCCAATACGACTTTAACACTTTAAATACTACCAGTTTAACTTTAACGCTCTGAACACTTCCAATATTACTTTAACGCTTTGAATACTATCAGTTTATCTTTAACACTCAAAACAGTGCCAACGACTTTAACGATTTAAAAACTACCGGTTTAACTTTAACGCACTCCCAATATGACTTTAATGCTTTAAATACTATCAGTTTAACTTTAACACTCTAAACACTTCCAATATTACTTTCACGCTTAAAATACTACCAGTTTAACTTTAACGCTCTGAACACTTCCAATGCGACGTTAATGCTCTAAACACTTCCAATATGACTTTAACGCTTTGAATACTATCAGTTTATCTTTAACACTCTAAACATTGCCAACGACTTTAGCGATTTAAAAACTACCGGTTTAACTTTAACGCTCTAAACACTTCCAATACGACTTTAACACTTTAAATACTGCCAGTTTAACTTCAACGCTCTAAACACTTCCAATACGACTTTAACACTTTAAATACTGCCAGTTTAACTTTAACGCTCTAAACACTTCCAATACGACTTTAACACTTTAAATACTGCCAGTTTAACTTTAACGCTCTAAACACTTCCAATACGACATTAACACTTTAATTACCACCAGTGTAACTTTAACGCTCTAAACACTTCCAATACGACTTTAACACTTTAAATACTACCAGTTTAACTTTAACGCTCTGAACACTTCCAATATTACTTTAACGCTTTGAATACTATCAGTTTATCTTTAACACTCTAAGCAGTGCCAACGACTTTAACGATTTAAAAACTACCGGTTTAACTTTAACGCACTAAACACTCCCAATATGACTTTCATGCTTAAAATACTACCAGTTTAACTTTAACGCTCTGAACACTTCCAATGCGACTTTAACGCTCTAAACACTTCCAATATGACTTTAACGCTTTAAATACTATCAGTTTAACTTTAACGCTCTGAACATTTCCAATATATCTTTAACGTTTTAAATACTACCAGTTTAACTTTAACGCGCTGAACACTTCCAATGCGACTTTAACGCTTTAAATACTACCAGTTTAACTTTAACGATCTAAACACTTCCAATGCGACTTTAACGCTTTAAATACTACCAGTTTAACTTTAACGCTCTGAACACTTTCAATACGACTTTGACGCTTTAAATACTTCCAGTTTAACTTTAACACTCTAAACACTTTCAATACGACTTTAACGCTTTAAACACTACCAGTTTAACTTTAACGCTCTAAACACTTTCCGAACTATATAAGTTCAACTTTTATGAAATCTCCAATACATATATAACATTTGAACACTTTAATAACACTGTCGGTGTTCTATATGCAATATTTTATACAATAAAGTAAATCTTAATAACAATGAGTAGATGTTTTGTTATCAGCATCGATTAATTGATTTATCGTGATTGAATGTCCCATACACATTGTTATCATTAACGTAACAAAGTGAGCCCTCAACGACAGAAAATAGCAATTATTCTTACAATGAACAAATAGTTTAATTACGTCGCTTTGGTATTTGACTCTCTGATTGGGTAATATTTTAACCATGTTTAAATAAACTACCAATAGCATTACGACTTGACAGTCAATCATAGTCACCGTGTGGTACTTAGGCAGGGCTCCACAAAATATCATGATCATTTACAAACGTACGCCATCAATTGAGGGCGCTCGTTCCTTCGACATATGCTTGAAAATCTGAAGGTGCACATGAATAAGCCGTCAATGTGGGTGTCTAGAATGGGATCAATCTTTCATTCAAATTATCTGAAAAGAGGTCTACAAATCTGAAGATATGAATAAGCCGCCAATGGGTGTCTAGAATGGGATCAATCTTTCCTTCAAATTATCTGAAAAGAGGTCTACAAATCTGAAGATATGAATAAGCCGCCAATGGGTGTCAAGAATGGGATCAATCTTTCATTCAAATTATCTGAAAAGAGGTCTACAAATCTGAAGATATGAATAAGCCGCCAATGGGTGTCTAGAATGGGATCAATCTTTCAGTCAAATTATCTGAAAAGGGATCTACAATTTCAACGTTCATTAATCTCGACTGCGGACTCGGGTCACAATTTCATACTTTATGGATCATTCCAATTTTATTTGAAAACATGAACACATACTTTAGTTTGCATTAATTAGGGCTATTGCTATTTGAAATCTACGTAATGTTGGCAATAATATCATCCTTTCGTTGTTTAGTTGTTCGTTATACGATACCCTGATACCCCGCAATTAGGAGTAACTACTAGCACTAATATGATTAGAAATCGCCCAGAAGGATTATCGTTAAAAAGCTTGTGAACGTCAAATATCATCACCTCTTGGGGGGAAACGGCTCACAATACACAAAACCAATGTCAAGGGTTTAAACGTTTTTCGAAATATTTTTATTTTTAGAAAGATAATTTAT